TAAATTTGGCTTACCTGGTTATATAATAAATTTTAAGTGATGGTGCAAAGGAATAGTAAAAAAGGCTTAATTTCAGATGTGTATGCATTTATTTTTCTTTTTTTTAATGTAAAAAATTTTACTGAGTTATAATTAACATACAATATTATATTATTTCAAGTGTACAACATAGTGATTTGATATGTTTATTCATCATGAAATGGTCACCACTGTGTGACCAGTTACCACGGTCACCACAAATTCTGTTCTGTTGCCACATCTCCACCTCTGTGTTGAGACTGTGTCCCTTGATTCTTTCCCAGCTTCGCTGGATTTCTCTTCCTTTCACTAGCTTCTGAGGAAACCAGCTCCTCTGTTTTGCAGCACCGCTGTCGTGTCTGGAGTGTCTGTGGCTTTGTTTAACCTTGTCAGTTTACCCTCTGAGCACTTAATTTTCGTTTTTCAGTTTCTCTATCTACAATTTGAAGAATATCATCCTGAAATGCATTGAATTAACCTTGGAACATGTTTAGTAATCCCCACACCTGTGGGGTGTTTGTGGGGTGTTCTTAGCAGAGTGTGGTCCCTAAAGTCAGAGTGCCCAACTTGATGCCATCACTGTCTAATTCAGGAACAGTTGATTTCTAATTCAGTTGATCTCTAATTCGGGAATCTCTCCCCAAAGAGGCACATCCCCATGAGCAGTCACTCCCTCCCCCACCCCCACCCTGTCAGCTATTCATCTGCTGTCTGTCCCTGTGACTTTGCACGTACTGAACAAGTGATGGCAAGGAACCATCTTGGCTCCTTCCATTGAGCAGCTTGTTTTCGAGGTCCATCCATGTTGCATCATGTATCAGTGCTTCAACCCTTTTCATGGCTACCTGATGTTCTGTTACACGAATATAGCAGTCAGTAGTATTGTACCACTTTTTATACTCACCAAGATGGCCAGTCCAGTTGGTAAAATCAGGGGTTTAGCTTCAGACAGACATGCACAGAATGGCAAGGGGCGTGTTTGCTTTTCCTCCACAAGTTCACCTGGGTTTGCAGTTTTTGTTGTCCTTGCCCAGCCTTTCTTTGAGTAGTTTCATTACGTAGTGGGGGCAGGGAGAAAGAGGAAAGGAATGAGAGAACTTGTCTACAGTTGAGGGAAGAGGGTAGTGACTTTGACCTTCATCCAGCTTCACCAGTGTCCCATTTGCTGACATCATACCCCGACACTCTCTGGGTGCTCCTGGTCATGTTCTCTGTCCTAATGTCCTCTCAGGGTTTGTTCATATCAGAGTGCTTAAAAGTGGAAGTTAAACGTTAGATTGTATATATATAAGTAGAAGTTAAATGTTAGATTCTGACAGAGTGCTTTAAAAATACTAAACTGCACAGTGAGGCAAGGCAAAGCAAAAGAATCAGAAAGGAAGAAATAAAACTGTGAGATGACACGATGGTCTATGTCAGAAATCCCGAGGAATCTGCAAAATACAAAAAGATTCCTAAAATAAGTAAGTCAGTTTAGCAGAGTCCCAGCATACAAGATTAGCATTCAAAAGTCAGTCACATTTCCAGTGAACCCTTCGAAACCAAAATTTTAAAATACAATATTTTAGTTCCTGAAAAAGGAGTATTTAGGCATAACCCTAATGAAATGTGTCAGGAGTTGTATGCTGCAAACTACAAAACACTGATTAAAGAAATCAGTGGGCATCTAAATAAACATTTACCACATTCATGGATTACAAGACAACATCTTAAAGATGCTGCTTCTCCCCAGAAGAGTGGATTGGCTTGACACAATGCACATTAAAGTTCCAACAAAAAAAATGTGTAGATGTATCTAGGCCTATTCCAAACTTTTATTTGGAAATGCAGAGGAACCAGAATAGATAAAACCACTTTGAAAAGGGATAGAGTGGGAGGAATGAATGGTACCCAATTTCAGAACTTATTAAATGGGTACAAGAAACTGCTGCATTGATGGAGGCATGACTCATCAGTGGAGAGAACCTAGGAAGGGCTGTGGGATTACGGCCAAGTGACTCCTGACCAAGTGCAAATAAAGCCACTAAATGGAGGAAGGATGGTCTCAGCTCACTGCCCATGGATGGGTAAAAAATTAATCTCAACCTCTAGCTCACACCTCACAAAATACCTTAGGTATAATTATACCACATAAAACTATAAAGTTTTTAGTAGAAAACCATTGGGACCTGCTAAGAAAAGAGTTCTGAGATAGATGCCAAAAGTGTGATCCATGAAAGGAAAAAAATCAGTAAGTTGGACTTTATCAAAATGAAGAGAATGTTAAGAGAATGAAAAGATAAGCTACAGACCATGGGAAAATATTTGTAAATCTTATATTTTAGACTATATAATGAAATCTCAAGACTCAGCCATAAACATACACACACTCAGTCCAATTAGAAAATGGGCAAAGGACATGAAGAGACATTTCCAAAGAGGACATCACATGGCAGATAAATGCCCGGAAAGATGTTTAACGTCACTGTCCTTAGGTTGAAGCACAGCGTGACCGAGGTGAATATTACTGCACTCCTATCAGAACAACTGAAATGAGAAACAGTGACAACCTTGGATGCTAGTGAGGATGTGAAGAAACTTTTTTCTCGTATGTTGCTGGTAGGGCTGTAAGGTGGTGTGGTCCCCTGCAGGAACAGAGTTGGCAGTCCCTTTAAAAATTGAACATACTTACCCAAGCAGCTGCACCCCTGGGCACTTACCTGGAGAAAAGAACATCAGCATTCCCGTAAAATTCTGTGCCAAGTGTTTTTAATAGCTCCAAGCTGGAAAAAAAACCCATGTCCCTCAGAGGTGAATGGTAAACAAGCTGTGTCACATCCACACCATGGACAGCGCTCAGCAGTAAAAGCAACGGGCTGCTGGTGCCACTGCAGCCTGGGCGGATCTCGAGGCCACTGTGCTGAGTGATGGAAGCCGAGCTGAACACAGCAGGCACCACATGACTGTTTACGCAGGGTTCTCAGGTTGTGTCGGTGCACATGAGACTTGTGAGTGCTGGTGAGTCCCTCACCGAGTCTCCAAGCCTCGACTGGGCTAGCACTTTGGTGCCCATCCCTCGGGGAGCTGTGTGGAAGGAGGAGGGGCAGAAGTGGGCAGGCTGAGAGGCACAGCGGGCCCCCCAGCTTCCAGGGGGCCCCCAGCGTCCAGTGGCCACCTCTCAACCTCAGCTGGCCCTGGTCAGTCACCCAGCTCTGCCTGGTCACCTCCACAAACAGCTGCTGCCAGGAGAAGGGGAGAGTGACTTTTCACGAGCATGTCCCCATTTACTTACCACTTTTGTTCTTGATTTGGACCCAGAATCTTGGTGTTGACTGTAGACCACGCCCTGTGTGCCAACATTTCTGCTGTGATCCATGTGAGGGCCCAGAAGACAGCAGGGAAGCTTTGAGTCTCCTTCTCTGTGATGCCAAAACCCTCATTCTCAACTCTGAGTTTAACTGCTGGATCCTAAGCACTTAAAATAGTACATGCTATTAAATGTTGAGAAAAATAAGAGTATGTAATATTAATTCTTAAGGCCACAAGCTTTTAAAAAAGTAAACAACATTAATATCTATTAACACTATTGAAAGTTAGGTCAAAATCTAAGAAGCCTTTGAGATACATACTTTTTTTTTTCCAACTAAAACGGCAGTTTTAAAACTGTGGTAAAATGTACATAATATAAAAGTTTCCATCTTAACAGTTTTCAGTTAGCAGGAAGTACATACACAGTGCCCTGCAACCGTCACACCAGCATGTCCCAGAACCGGTCACCCTCGTGAAGTGAAGCTCTGTCCCCTGAACCGCTGGCTCCCCAGCCCCTGACAGCCAGCCTCTACCTTCTGTCTGTGAATTGGTCTGGTTGGGGACCTCATACACATGGAATCACACACTGTTTGTCTTTTTGTGTCTGACTGTATCTTTTATTTTAGATAATATTGATAATTTTTCTTGTTCTGTGAGTAACACTTATCTGTTTTTGAAATATACAGGAAACACTTGAACCAAAGGAAGAAAATAAATGTCACCTTTAAGTTCTACTCAGATAACCACTAAAAACATTTTTTTGCTCTTTCAGAGAGAGACCTTATAATTTGTTGTCTGCTTTCCACTTAGTAAGGTATCATGAATATCTTTCCATGTCCATAAATAGTTTATGTGTCAACGTTTCAAAAGCTGTATCATATTTCATTGTGCAGATGCATCATAATTTTGTATATTTTTTTATTGAAGTATAGTTGATTTACATGGTTTCAGATGGATAGCAAAGTGATTCAGTTATACATATGTGCATATATATATATATTCTTTTTCAGTTTCTTTTCCATTATCAATTATTACAATTTATTGCATATATTTTCCTATCCTATACAGTAGGTTCTTATTATTTATCTGTTTTATATGTAGTGGTGTGTCTCTGTTAATCCCAAAGTTCTAATATATCCCAACCCCATTTCCTTTCCTGTCTGGTAAACATCAGTTTGTTTCTTACATCAGTGAGTCTATTTCTGTTCTGTAAATAAGTTCATTTGTATCATTTTCTTAAGATTCCACATGTAAGTGATATCATATGAAATTTGTCTTCTGTTCTGACTTCCTTCACTTAGTATAATTTCTGGATCCATCCATGTTGCTGCAAATGACATTATTTCATTCTTTTTTGTGGCTGAGTAGTATTCCATTGTATATATGCTCCACGTCTTCTTTATCCACCCCTCTGTTGATAGACATTTAGGTTGCTTCCACGTCCTGTCTATTGTGAATGGTGCTGCTATGAGAGTCAGAGTGCATGTGTCTTTCTGAATTAGAGTTTTCTCCAGACATATCAAATGCATGATAATTTAGTGAACAGTCTCTTTCCTGTGCTTACACATTCCAGGTTGCAAGGTCTGTCTGTCTGTCTGTGTGCCCCTGACTTCATCGCATATTCTGAATGTTGGCTTCTTGGTGTTCAGCCTGCATGTGACCGGCTCACTGACCAGCATCTCTTCTTTCTCTAGGATGGCTGAGCTTTTTAGTTTGATTGACACCATGTGGCCTCCACGGGCAGCTCTGAAAGCAACAGGCCCTGGCACAGCCTTTGAGGTAAGCCCAGCATTGAGGCACTGCCCTGCCACAATAGTGCACCTCCTGAGAAACCCTGTGAGGTTAGCCCGGCATTGAGGCACCCCCGCCACACACACACAGTGCACCCCCCAAGAAGCCCTGTGAGTTAGCCTGGCATTGAGGCACCCCCCCCCCACACACACACAGTGCACCCCCCGAGAAGCCCGGATCTAGTAAGTGTGAGCCAGGACAGAGGTCACAGTGCTGCCTCACTTGTAGGCCGGAGCCTGGCTGCCTTCTCCACTGTGCCACATGCGTGCTTCCGGAGGTTCCTTTATGGTGACCTCTCTCCACCCCCATCATCATGGGCCACTGCACACTGAGGGTCTCAGCCTTGCACCCAACAAGAAGCAGGTGGTTTCCCTGCCTCCTTCCAGTCAGTAGTAGAACCACCACTGAGCGCCAGTTAGAACAAAGACTCAGTGCATGGAATCCACGGGCATCAGTCCAACCGCCATCTCCGCTCAGCTCAGGGTCTCCCTTTCCTTCCCCCTCACCTTGTGTATGGTAGCTGGTTGCCCACAGGTAGCAACATTGAGGAAGCGTGTCTGTCCTTCCTGCTCTGAACCATGTCCAGCAGGCTGGCAGCTACTGCTTCAGGCCTTTGCTCCCCAGGCTGAGAGCTGGCCCCTTGCTTGTGTGGTTCTGACTTCTGGCACAGGCGGACACAGTAGCTCTGTCCAGAGCTGGAGCAGTGGCCCAGTCAGAGATGCCATTTTTAGATGCCTCACAGGGAAGAACTTTGTGAATGGAGTCTTCAGTGCATCTGAAGAGTAAATTTCTAGAATAACATCTTGAATTGGTGATAAATTCAGGAGCACAGAAGCTGTCATGCTGGGTCCAGAGGGAAATAACCCCATCTGTAATGAGCCTTTCAGAGAGTTGGTCTGCATCTGTGAGCAGAGACGGCTCTGTTGAAGAGTAAATTTATGTTAATAGTGCATTTGAGTCTTTTAGCAGTGCATTCACATTCTACTTTTGTCTTCATTTTAAACAGGAGAAAACTCATCTGCCTCCTCCTAGCTTCTGTTACATCCTCAGCGCTCATCCAGACGTGGGGCAGATTGATGTAATTGAAGACGACCCCGTTGCAGAACTTTACCAGCCACCGACTCCCCGCTTCTTAAAAGAAATTCTGCAGGTGGTGCCTTTGTGTGTACCATGTCTCCATTGCTTTGCTGTGTGTGTGGGCTTGGGGAGACTTACGCACTGTTTTCAATACATTCCAGACCGACGGCCTCTGTACCCATTGCAGCTTCTATGCCACAGTGATTTACCGGAGACCACAGGTGATCTGTCTCTCTTTCTCTTCACTTGTTGTACAACTTACCAAAGGATAATCTCGCTCAGAAATGGGTAGAGTACCCAAACAGAAAAGCATTGTTGAATGCCAGTTATGCGCGGTCTGTGCTGACATGGTGCTAAGTGCGCTGCTTGTGCAGGTGAGGCTGCGGGCTTTCGTGAAGTCCTGGGCGTGAAGCCACCAGGTACAGCCTGAGTGTGCTCTCAGCGGCTGTCACTCACTGGCTCCTGCCCACAGACCTGCAGCTGGGCCAGAGGTGGAGGGGGAAGGAGTGTTCAGATGCACTGCCACCTTCAGCTGGTCTGTGGAAATCTTTGCCCTTCCTGAGAAACTGATCATTTGCTAAGATGAACTCCTCCGTCCAGCGCAGGGCCATGTGTGGGACCTTGGGGTCCTGTCCCTTCTGTTTCCTTTAGATGGAACGTTTCTTCATCTTTCTTACCTTTTATGACCTTTATGTCATTTTTGAAGAAGAGGTTGATTACTCAACAGAATGCCCCTCCATGTAGATTTGCCTGATCACAAAGAGATTTGTGATCTATGCCACATAAAAGCGCTGTGTCCATACCAGGGGCACACGGTTGAGCTGTCCCAGTGCTGTGATATGATATCAATTGATTAAGATGCTGTTTTCCAGGCTTCTCCACTCTAAAGTTAACTAATAAATATTCCATACTTATTGCTTAATAACCGTGTAACAAATGTTTTGTAGGAAGATAGCTTAAGACAATTTTAACATCCTGTTTCTTATCAAACTTCTACCCATTCATTGTAAAATCTATATGAATCTTGCTTGAATTATTACTCTGATAGTGGCTAAATGATAATTTTCTAATTCCAGCCTTTTTCTACATTTATTAGTTGGCATTGGCTATACCTAGGAACTTTTATTTTCATGATTTATTTATGCATTCGGTCATTTATCTCAGCTTGAACCAGTAGATTGAATTTTTATTCAATGAGTTGTTATCTGTAACTGTCACTTATTCTAATGCTTACGTCTCCCCAGATTCATGCCAGCTCCTATGTCCTTTGGACATGTCCCCATCACTCCTCAAGGGCTACCTTACTTTCTGCAATAATAAGATGCTTCAGACTCATTTTGTGTTTCCTCTGCCCTGAAATCGGTTGTCTTCTAAGTAGCCCTGGTTGATTTTAGTGAAGAATGGCATTTAGAAGCCAAGATCTGGGTCCTCAGTGGGCTCATTGCTGCTGGGCCATCTCAGCAGACGGAACAAGGAAGTATGTGTGTGTACTCATGCACACGTACCTACCGATCCACATCTTTCTTTGCATCTGTCTCTACCTAAAACTCATCATCTTATACCAGTACTTCCAACTCTAGGCCATAACCATGGAACTGACTCTAGATTTCCTCACTTCCGTATTAATAACTCCTCATCCAGCTCTGAGAAACCTGGCTGTCACTTTCCTCAGTATAAACTTCTCTAATTTCTTATGTGTAATCAGCCTTCCATCCAACTGCCTTCTCCACTCAGCTCACAGTTCCTGACCTCACTGGTCACCTTCTTTGCTCAGTCATGTCCACCAGCCATGTGGGATCATCAGCCTGACCAGACCATCTATGCCAGCAACACCTTGACCCTCATGCCAACCAGCTTCTCATAGCCTGGCCCTGATGACCCCAGGGCTATTTCCAGTCAGATCCTTGTCCCCGTTTTATCTGCTGCTGCTGCTGCTGCTAAGTCGCTTCAGTCGTGTCCAACTCTGTGCGACCTCATAGATGGAAGCCCACCAGACTCCCCTGTCCATGGGATTTTCCAGGCAAGAGTACTGGAGTGGGGTGCCATTACCTTCTCTGCCATTTGCATCTACTGAGTCCTAGTGGCAGAAGACTCTGATGTAGTTGTGTCCTAGCCACCTCCCGAAGGCCCTGTGTCCATGACCATCACACTGGAGTGTAGGATTCACGATGTGCATCCATGGGGCTGGGGGTGTGAACGTTCCATTCATCACACTTTCTCATCCTTGGGACACGTACATCTCGCAGGAGAGAAGAGTGTGTACTTCGTGGAAGCCAGTGTGATGACTCACATCCTCACTGTGTGCACGTGGGATTGGGAGGAAGTGCGTGACTTCTTCCTCGTGGGTCAGAGGACAAGGAGAGAGGAGCCAGGGAGGGGCAGGCCTCCCCCCAGCTGTGGAGCCCTTAGAACAGTGACAGGGCTGGAGCTCACTGGGCTTGGCCATGTCTGGGGTGCTGATGACCACGTATGCAAAGGCCATTGCATTTGTGGAAATACTTATTGAAATGATATCAGATATTAATGTTAATAATAATCATCTAAGATTATTGCCTTTAAAAATAATTTTGGATTTAAGAAGAGCTACCAGGTTAATAGCCTTGACTGTGACTTTGAATTCTAGGCAAACAGTTTGCCTCTGGAGCCAAGGGAGATGTGGCTCGTGGTGACCGACATTACTCTGCAGACGCTGGACAAGGACTCAGGTTTCCCCAGAACCATTCCTGTGCGTGTGGCCGCCTCATGCCTGCTGGACCAGGAGGTCCGGGATGCTCTCTGCGAGGCCACCTCCCAAAGCTTCCTCTTCCGGGACGCTCTCCAAGACCAAGGTATGCCTTCCTCTTACTGACAGCACTGGTCTGTCCCCCGGCCCAGAGTCCCCTGCAGACCAGGCCCCTGTGACAGCTGCCTAGACACAACAGAGCGCTGGCCTGTGGTGCTGGCATGCAGGATGATGCTGGGGTCACTGGGGAGGGTCTGTCGGGGTCACGCTTTATGGGTACAGAAGTAACAAAACTGCTGCCTAGAGCACCACTTTGTAAAACAAACAGAGCTCAAGCATTTATGTCCATTCTTCAGTAGCCACCCTCTACAGCACCAAGTCCCAGTCTAGAGAACAGTGGTGTTCGCGTGAGACCCACATGCATGCTCTTACCCTGTAAACCCTGTAAAACTTGTACCTCGTGCCATGTCAGGCTGTGTGAATACTGGTTGATGTGCAGCAAATCCACATTTTGCTCTCTGGAACCTTCCCCAAGTATTTTTCATCCATGGTTGTCTGCATCCGAGTTGGCTGGAGTCTGCAGATGTGAAGCCTGCTAGTACGGAGACCTGACTGTGTGCTTACACCCATCAGTGCTCTTTCCAGGAGCCACAGGAGGACCCTACCTAGACAGTGTATTTTCAGTGTTGAAGCTGCGTGACGTGAAGTTGGTCTTTCTGCATCGAATGTGAACCCATGTTTGTGTGTGTTTACAGCTCTGTCTCCCTTTTTGCACAGGCTGTGTCCCTCGACATATGGGGGCCCCACGCCAGTGCCCCTGACCCCCCCCCCACCCCGCCCCAACTCCCAGAAGGCTGGCGAAGGATGTGTCTCTCCTGGCAGGAGAACTTGCTTGTTTCAAACCTAGAGCTGGAGTAATCCAAAGCATCTCTGTTGGCAGGTCAGATTGTCTGTGTTGGCCGAACTGTCCTCCTGCCTCGGAAACCCCGTGGGGGTATGATGGTGGGTGCCTGGGAGCTGACGGGCCCCCTGCATCTGGATGAACTGGGCCCTGGCACTCAGGTCAACTCCATTTGCAGCATCCAAGGTGTGTATCGATCTTGATGGAAGAGAGATTTGTATTTTCTTAAATATCGTACTTACTTTGTGTTCGTTATTTATTCACTGTTTGTTGAGTACCTGACATAGGGTACATGAGGAACAAAATGAAAAGATGCCGGCCTTTCAGACACAAGCAGAGCCAGGCTGGCAGCCTCAGGGCTCCGAGTGTCTGTCCCGGGCCCTCCCTGTGGGGCACAGACAGGAGCCCTGAGCCGAGGGCGAGTGGAGGGTGAGCCCATCAGATGAGGTGGGGGGCGGGGGGCGAGCAGGACTTGCCCAGGCTGCTGACGGGGCAGGGCGGGTAAGCACCAGAGTGGGAGGAGGTGGCAGAGGTGTGTGTGGGGGGGTGGCAGTCGGGGTTGCGGGGCATTCAGGGCGGAGGTGGATCTGAGGGAGGGTTCAGTCAGGAGAAGACCTGACACGCAGGGAAACAGTGATCTGTGACAGCATCGTGCTCGTCCATTTCCAGAAAGTCCAGAGATTCCACACGTAACGTCGAGGGCCTGTGTCCTCCATCCCGGCCACTCGACCCAAACCCCATGTGCTGTTTATGAACAGCGAAGGCTGTGACCCCACTGTTGCTTGAGCCCAAGTCCCCTGTGTGCTTGTGAGACTGAGCACGTGTCCATTATGTTTTCCTTCAGTACATTCCCTTCACCATTAGTGTTCCTACCGAGATGTAGCTCCTCAAGCACGTGGACTTGAAGAAGGCAGGCTCCAGCCGTCAGCTGGGTCTGTTCTTGCCCCCACTCTCTCATCTCTGCTCCAAGGATGGCAGGACTGACCTCAGAGACTGGTTGAGGAGTAGGTGGGCTGACGGGGAAGCCGACGTTCCGTGCTCCCACTGCCACCGGCGGGTGGCTGGCTGGGGGCTTGGGGGCTGGAGCCAGCGACAGCAGGGATGGGGCCCGGACTGCCATCCCTGCCCAGGCAGAGCTGGTACAGGCCTTTCAGGAAGGTGGGAGGGCACGTGGGAAACCCAGGACAGCTGCACAAGCTCCATGTGCTGGAGGAGAGGGGCCAAGGTGACCAGCTGGCCTTGTCCTGTCCTGCTATCCCAGCTGTGCTAACGGAGTGGAACAGTCAGATTTTTGTCTAAGATGAAGCCCTGCTTTCAGCACCACGGGTCGACTCTGGAGTAAAATGGGGGCTGGTTGTTGGCTGTTGGGAGGAGCACAGGAGAGGTTGGCTGAGAGTCTGGAGGCTCAGCGGGCTGGTGGACAGGCATGAAGGCCGGACTCTGCAGAGCCGCACAGCCTGTCTGCGGCCTGTGCTCTCCAGGCTCCCATCCCCTCGCATCTCCCAGGGTAGGTCATCCAGGCTCGGAGCCAGTGGAAGGAGAAGGAGGCGACCCCAGGTGACAGTTCCCACCCCCAAACCCCTCCCACATTTTATGAGAAAACGTACCTGAAGAGCTGGCTTCCTGAGAAGGGTTTGGAGCCAGACCACTCTTACCCGCAGCCAGGGAGTAAGAAGCATAGAGCTGCAGGCTATGCAGGAGCATGCAGAAAGTGGTGAGGACAGAGACTTGCCTTTCCTAAAGAATCTCATATTTTAAAGAAATAATAATTTACAGTGAGATTTACAAAACATAAAATTTAACCATTTTAAAGAGAAATTCAGTGGCAGTCCATTTACAGTGTTGTACAGCCACCTCCTAGTTTACGTTTTGGCTTTTGTCGTCTCACTGGCTTTGAAAACAGAGTGGCAGTCTCGTTTTCAATCACAGTGTCATTGAGCAGAAATTCACCCTTTTAAAGTGTGCAACTCATTTTTTGTAGTGTATTCATACAGTTGTGCAACCATCCCTACTAACTAGCTCCAGAGAGAAACCCTGTATCTGTCAGCACTCACATCCCATCCCCTCCCAACCCCTGGCTCCCGCTCCTCTGCCTTCTGTCTCATGGACGCTCATGTGAATGAATCATACATTGTGTGCTTCTTGGTTTCTGGCTGCTTGAACTCAGCAGGACATTTTCAAGGCGTTTCTCAGGCTTTGTTCCTTTCTGGGGCTGAATAGACCCTGTTTTATTTATCCATTCATCAGTTGATGCACACTTTTTTGATACTATAATTCATGCTGCTGTGAATTTTCATGTAAGGTCCTTGGGTGGGCATCTACTTCCTGTTCTTTGGGTATATTCCTGATGTCTGACATAGTTTTCATGTGGGCCACAATCACAAATAGACAGCGGCAGCAGAACTGAGAGGAAGCTGTGTTCCCTCCACTCATGGTGGGGAGGCATCTGCAGGAAGTGACCCTTCAGAGGGCAGAAAGTGAGGCTGAGACTGAATACCCCATGTCCAGACGTGGTGACCAACAGGAGTGTCAAGAGGTACAGCCCAAGATGAGGGAGATCAGGTAGCCACTGTGACCTGTCTGGAGAGGGGCAGTGCTGGTGGAGGGTCTCTGGCCAGCGGTGCCCGTGGAGTGACCCTGGGCTGACACAGGCTGCCCGGAGCAGAGCTGTGACGGGTGACATCCCCCAGCACTGGGTATTCTCAGGTTGTAGATCATCAGTCATTCTCACAGGCATGTGCTGGTGTCAGGTTGCTGATTGAGTTTGCGTTTCCCTGACAGCATGTGCTATGGAGCATCATTCCTATGTTTATTTGATGTCTGTATATCTTCTGTGGTGAGGTGTCTGCCAAGGGCTTTGGTCCATTTTTATTCAGGTTGTTCAGTTTCTTATTGAGTTTTTTGCGTTTTTCGTGTATTTTGGATAGCAGTCCTGTCCTAGATAAGTATTTTGCAAATATCTTTTCCCATTTGTGACATCTCATCTCTTAACAGTGTCTTTTGTGGACCAGGTTTAATTTTAATGAAGTCCAACATAGGCTTTTTTCCCCCATGAATTGTGGTTTTGATGTTGTATTTAAAAACTCATTGCCAGACTAAAGTCACCCAGATTTTTTTTCCTGTTTTCTTCTAGGAATTTTATAGTTTTGCATTTTACACTTAAGTATACAATCCATTTTGAGTTAAATTTTGTAAAAGAGGTAAGGTCTTTTTCTAGATTGATTTTTTCCCCCCAGGTGTTTGTCAGTTGTTGTAACACTGTTGGAAACACTGTCTTTTCTCTACTGAAATGTCAGCTCAGTTGACTGTGTTCATGTGGGTATGTTTCTGGGCTCTCTGGTCTGTTGCATTGGTTTTTCCTTTTGAGGGTAGGATGCCGTGTTGATGACGGTATCTCTGTCGCATGTCTGTCCTCCAGCTCCATTCTCCTCCAGTATTGTCTTGCCTACTCTAGGCCTTTCTGCCTCCCATGTAAACTTGCAACTTGGCTTGTGGTATCCGCAGAGTGACTTGCTGTGCTTTTGATTAGAATCGTGTTCAATCTGTAGTGCACCTTAGAAAAAATGTACATCTTAACAACATTCAGTCTTCCTGTACGTGAACATGGAATATCTCTCTCTTAATTTTGATCTTTGATGTTTCAGCAGTGTTGTAGTTTTTCTCATATAGATCTGTACGTATTTTGCTACACTTATACCTAAGTATTTCATTTATTTTAGCTAATGTAAATGGTGTTGTATGTTTTTAACTTCAAACTTCACTTGTTCATTGTTAGTGTATAGGAAAGCAATTGACTTTTGTATTTTAACCTTGTATCCTACAACCTAACCACAGTCATTTCGTAGTGCTAGATTTTTTTCTTGTTGATTCTTTGAGATAGTCTATACAGGAAACTGTCACTGTGAACAAGGACAAGTTTTTCTTCATTCCCAGTCTCCATCCATTTTATCTCCTTTTCTGGCCATCTCACCTTAGCTGAACTCCCAGCACCAGACTGAAGAGAAGTGATGAGAGAGACCGCCTTGCCCTGTTACTGATCTCAAGGAGAAAGCACCACTTCTGCCACCATTAGTCAGTGATGTCAGCTGTCAGGGTCTTGAGTGTTTGTTGTTTTTTCAGCTAAAGATAATCTCTCTTTATTCCACATATTGAAGGGAAAGAACGTACCGGTCTCTTACTTCCCCTCCAGTCGGTTCTGATTATTAAGATCGAAAATGTTCTGTTCTGTAGCTGTAAAGCTTTGCCCTGTGTCTGCAGGTTGATCCTCATAGATGAAAAACAGTAAATGGTATTTTTATTATAATGATTATATAAATATTTTTCACTGAACAGGAAACTAGTACATACTCTATTTCCTTTCTTGTATGAGTCTTTTCATGGAGTTTTGTGCTGAATTTTGTTTTACTTAACACTGCCTGCTCTACACTCTTAATTATTTTCCAAATCCTCAGAAATGATGACAGATCTTTGGAGCCATCCTTTTCCTATGTAATTTCTCTCCTGGAGCCTTCTGTCCCTCTGAACCTTCCTTGACTGGTTACCCTGCTGTCAGCTGTCATCTAGGCCTCCTCTGTATTAATCCTTTAGGGTCAGCCTTTCCTAAATCACAGAACTTCTTTGTTGGCTTATTCCAATAAATGCTCTTTACCAAGGTGAAGAAACTTCCTCTATTCCTAGATTGAGAGTTTTTATTATCAATCGGTATTGAATTTTGTTAGATGGCTTTTCTGCATCTATTGATATGATCATATGATTTTTCTTCTTTAGTCTGTTGATATGATAGATTGTTGTTGTTATTATTTAGTCTGTAAGTCATGTCTGATTCTTTGTGACCCCATGGACTGTAGCCCACCAGGCTCTTCTGTCCATGGAATTTCTTGGTAAGAATCCTGGAGTGGGTTTCCATGTCCTTCTCCAGGGGATCTTCCCGACCCAGGGATTGAACCTGTGTCTCTTGCACTGGCGTATATTCTCTAGTGCTGAGCCTCCAGGGAAGCCCTGTGATAAATTACAGTAGTTGATTTTTTAAAATATTGAATTGGCTTATAAACCTGGAATAAATCCCATTTGGTCATGGTATAATCTTTTTTTTATATAGTTGGATTAGATTGCTAATATCTTGCTAAGGACTTTTGCAGCTCTGTTCATGAGAGATCCTGGTCTGTAGTTGTCCTTTCAAGTAGTGTCTTTATCTGGGTTTGGAATTAGGTACATGCTGTCGTCAGAGGACGTGTACCCCCTCTGCTACTGTCGTCTTCTGGGGGGAACTGCACAGGATTGGTATAATTTCTTTCTTAAATATTTGCTCGGATTGATCAGTGAACTCCGCTGGGCCTGGTGCTTTGTTTTGGAATGTTATGAATTATTGATTCAATTTCTTTAATATAGGCTTACTTCATTTTATTGTGCTTGGTGGATACTGTGCTTTTTACAGATTGAAGGTTTGTGGCAGCCGTGTGTCAAGCAAGTCTATCCCTGCTGTTTGTTCAGTAGCTCACTTAGTGGTTTGGTGTCACATTTTGGTAATTCATGCAATATTTCAGTTTTTTTCATTATGGTTATATTTGTCATGGTCATCTGTGATCAGTGATCTTTGATGCTACTATTACAAAAAGATTTCAACTTGCTGAAGGCTCAGATGATGGTTAGCGTAATTTAGCAATTAAGTATTCTTTAATTAAGGTGTTCGTTTTTTAGACATTATGCATTTGTTGCACATTTAATAAGTCATAGTATAGTGTGGACATAACTTTTATGCACGCTGGGAGCTAGGGATCAAACCCAGACCCAGCCGTCGCCTGGCAAGGGAGTTACCAGTGGTATGAAGACCCCAGACAAAATGTATTTCCTCAGCTCGAGTCTTGTTCTGAAATTGGAAGGAAATTGCTTAATCCCATGTAATTGTAAATGTTGTTAGCACTGTCGGGTACTAGGATAAAAGGAAATGTGGTTTGTAGCAGTCTTCTTTTTCTTAATTCATTTAGCAGACTCGCCATAACTGTGTGATTGAGTCTCTGTGCTGGGAGCCCTCCCCTCAGCCTGGACTCTGCCCTCTGTGAAGACGCGCCTTCCGGCAGTGCTTTGAGCTTTTACTGGCTTAACTTTCAGTCTTTTAAGCCTTTTACTGGCTTAACTTTGACTCAGTCTTGATTAGATTTGTAAGAACAATGAAGTTAGCTAGGCAGTCTTTTTAAAATCAGGATGTATTATTTTCATTTTCAAAAAGTCATTCAAGGATGCATTGCAGGAATGCATTTTAATAAACCAAGCCTACTTAGTTCTCATTATTTTATCCTCTACAGATAAATTTTTTCCTAATGTTTGTTCTAGTGGAAAATTAAATTCTTTGCTCCAAGAGTAGGAAGGATGACTCTCCTATTTTTCTGGAAACTTAGTTCACATCTTACTTTTTTTCAGATGTCTCATTTCACCACTCTTCAACAAGGATGGTCTGAGATTTGCAATGTATCTTGATGATATGTACAGTGCTTCACACTCCAAGAAAATTAGACCAACTCAATCCCCTGTTTAAAATTCCTTTCTGGCTTCTCGTCCCTTCCAAGATCAAGTCTAGAATCCCAGGGAGACTTGGAAGGTGCTGGCAGGCACAGTTCACTGCTGTCTCACCTGCCTTTTCCTCTGCCTCTCTGGCCTCCAGCCCCACCTCAGGGTAAAGGGTGGACCTGTGTCCCTCCCTACCAGCAGCCCCACCTCAGGTCCATTCTTTCAGGAAGCCTCCCCAACACTTAGGCCAGCCTTGAGGGCCTCTCTTCAGCCCCTCTTGGGGGTCTTTTCCATTTCTCAATTTAGCATGTATTTTATGTTCTGCTTTTTTTTTCAAGACACCATTTTTTAGAGCAGTTTTAGCAAAATTGAGCAGAAGGTTCAGAGATTTTGCACATTCTCTCTACCCCCACACATGCACAACCTTCCCCACCGTCAGCATCCCCACCAGATGGCATGTTTGTTGTAACTGATGAACCTGTACTGACACGTTGTCATCACCCAGAATCAGAGCTACAGCCAGGGTCACTCTCAGTGACTATATTGTGTGGATTTAGGCAAATTTATGACATGCAGCCATCATTACAGTGTTGTACCAAGTGGTTTTCCTGACCTAAAACCTCTGTGTTCCACCTCTTCGGCCCTCTCTCCCCCATAATACCTCGCAGCCACTGATCTTTTCACAATCTGTATAGTTTTGCTTTTGCCACAGTGTCCTATAGTTGGAACCATATAGCCTGTAGACTTTTGAGATTGGCTTCTTTCAGTTAGTAATATGCATTTAAGGTTCCTTCATGTCTTTTCATGACCGGAGAGCTCATTTATTAAAAATTACTGAATGATGTTCCATTTTCTAGATAAGCCAGAGTTTATGTATCCATTCACCTACTAAAGGACATCTTGGTTGCTCCCATGTTTTGATAATTAAAGAGTAAATAGCCACATGCCGGTGTTTATGTGGACCTATATTTTCAACTCCTTTGTGAAAACACCAAGGAGTGTGATTGGTTCATTGTATCATAGGACAGTGTTTAATTTCTTAAGAAATTGCCAAACTGTCCACAGTGGCCGTACCATTTTTTATTACCCCCAGTAGTGACTGCAAGCTCCTGTTGCTCCACATCCTCAGAACCATTTGGTGCCGTCAATGCTCAGGACTCGGCCGTCCCTGTAGGTGTGCCGCGGTGTCTCATTGCTGTGTTCATAGGTGTGCAGGGGTGTCTCATTGCTGTGTGCATAGGTGTGCAGGGGTGTCTCATTGCTGTGTTCATAGGTGTGCAGGGGTGTCTCACTGTTGTGTTCATAGGTGTGCAGGGGTGTCTCATTTCTGTGTGCATAGGTGTGCAGGGGTGTCTCATTGCTGTGTGCATAGGTGTGCCACGGTGTCTCATTGCTGTGTGCATAGGTGTGCCACGGTGTCTCACTGCTGTGTTCATAGGTGTGCAGGGGTGTCTCATTGCTGTGTGCATAGGTGTGCAGGGGTGTCTCATTGCTGTGTGCATAGGTGTGCAGGAGTGTCTCACTGCTGTATGCATAGGTGTGCCGGGGTGTCTCATTGCTGTGTGCATAGGTGTGCAGGGGTGTCTCATTGCTGTGTTCATAGGTGTGCAGGGGTGTCTCATTGCTGTGTTCATAGGTGTGCAGGGGTATCTCACTGCTGTGTTCATAGGTGTGCAGTGGTGTGTCATTGCTGTGTGCATAGGTGTGCAGCGGTGTCTCAATGCTGTGTTTATAGGTGTGCAGGGGTGTCTCATTGCTGTGTGCATAGGTGTGCAGGGGTGTCTCATTGCTGTGTTCATAGGTGTGCCGGGGTGTCTCATTGCTGTGTTCATAGGTGTGCAGGGGTATCTCACTGCTGTGTTCATAGGTGTGCAGTGGTGTGTCATTGCTGTGTGCATAGGTGTGCAGCGGTGTCTCAATGCTGTGTTTATAGGTGTGCAGGGGTGTCTCATTGCTGTGTGCATAGGTGTGCAGGGGTGTCTCATTGCTGTGTTCATAGGTGTGCAGGGGTGTCTCATTGCTGTGTTCATAGGTGTGCAGGGGTGTCTCAATGCTGTGTTCATAGGTCTGCAGGGGTGTCTCATTGCTGTGTTCATTTGCATTTCACTCATGACATGACACTGGACATCTTTTCATGTGCTTCTTTGCCATCTGTGTATCTTCTCTGGAGAGGTGTCTGTTAAAGTTTTCGGCTCATTTTTTAAATCAGGTTATCCTGATTCTTATTATTGAGTTTTAACAGTTATTTGTATATTTTGGATAGATATTTGCAGATATTTTCTCCCATGTTTCATGATATTTTTACTCATTTGTTTATGTGCTTTCCCAGTCAGACTGTGGAGTCCATTAAAGTGTAGATTGTGGCTTTTATTCTTAAGTTCATAGTGCTACATGTATATCCCACACTAAAAAACATTGTATACATATTTGTTTGTTGAATAAATAAATCACAAATATTGGAGTAAAGAGAAATAGGGAAACCACATAAGAGGAGATACTAACAAACCAGTAAGAATCTTTCCTTATCAAGAAAATGGAAACCAAGCTGTGGGATTCCATTCCACTGTCCAGGAGGCAGATACTTCCTGTAAATGTCCAGGCAGCGGGTGAGTGTGAACAGTGTGAACCAGAGGTTCTGTGGGATGCACCTCTGAGGAGTTTTACCATCTCTGGGCTCACACTTTTGGACACAGTGACTCCACTCTGTGAGCCCATTCCAGAGGAAGGGCCCTTCACGGAAGGGGCCAAGGAGACAGATGCCTGCTGCCTTGTCCTAGAGCAGTTTGGATGCCTAGTGTCCAGTCTGGAGAGTGGTCAGGGGAACCGTGATGTAAATCTTCAGCCATGCAGAGCCTCAGGGCAGGACGTGACGGCGCAGGCATGGCGTGCTTGTCACGTACTCATAACACACATGCCGGGAGAAGGCAAAGGTGAAAATACTCGGGGAGGTGGTAATAGGCCTAAGCTTTAAAACTTGTCCTTTGCTATAACTTAGTGCAATAAATGGGAATTATAATAAGTTTAAGAGCATTTATATAAAGTCACAAATTGAGGAAACAAACCTGGGCACCTCTCGTCCCCATCTGTGACCTGAGGGGCACACTGAGGCTGGGGGCCAGAGCCACCTCTGAGCCCAGCTCCGCTTCCCTGATCCCAGGAACCGTGGTCGCTGTGGACGAGAGCACCGCCTGCTCGTGGCCTGTGTGTGATCTGTGTGGCAGCGAGAGACTGGAACGGAGCCCGGCAGACAGGTAGGGGGCAGCTGCCAGGGACCCCGCGACCTGGGGCCAGGGGGCACTTGGGGCAGCCGAGCTGCCAGAGGAGGCGGGCACGTTTTCTCCCCAAGTCACCCCTGGGCTCCTGCTGCTCCCTGAGGCACCTCCAGTCCTAAAAGAGAAAAAAGAGTGGGGCTTCCTCAGCTCCTCTGTTGTCTGGTGGGAGAGAAAGAACTCAGGGCAAACACAAACATGTGGCACGTGGGAACCGCACGGCTGACCCTTTGCAAGCTGACGTCCCTTCCTGCTCAGCGTTACTGCCCCCCACCCCCCACGCACCCTGGGCCCATCCTCTGAGCCAGTCCTCTGGCCCCACTGGCCATTAGAGGCCCCCAGGGCGCCCTCACTTTCCTGCTGCTGGGCACCTCCTGGGTGGTGGCCTCAGGCCCAGACCAGACAGCGCAGGGCAGGGCTTGGAGACGACGGGAGCGTGGATCTGGGTTTCTGGGAGGCAGGAAGGAGCAGGGACGCAGGTGACCAGAGCAGGTCTGCCCGGCCCCGCCCTTTGTTGGCCGGGCGCTCAGCCAGGTGAGCCCTCTGCCAGGTCTCTCCCTCCTCCGGCCACTCTGCAAGTGGCCTGATCTCTGTGCCCAGGCTGCTTCGGGCCGGTGTCAAGACCTGGTTTCTGAACGTGACGCCCAGACACCGGGGTGCAGGGAATGTCTGTCCCCACCAGGCCCCCACGCTCTGTCCTCTTGTCTCCAGCAGCAGGGGCGCCTTCTCCTGTGGGGACTGCTCCAGTGTGGTCACCTCGCCTGTCCTCAGGAGACACCTGCAGGTCTTCCTGGACTCCCCCTCGCGGCCCCGGTGCACAGTCAGGGTCAAGGTAGGAGCCAGCAGGGGCTGGTGTGTCTGTGTCCACCTCCAGGGCCCCTTCACCTGCGACCATGTGGGGCCTGCCTCTCCTGGTCCCTGCCCGGGGAGGGAAGGCTCAAGTCTGCAGTGGAGCTGGTGGCCTCGAGCCACACGTCAGTCCCCGGGAGGGGTGTTTCCGGCGAGTGGGGTGGGGTGCTGACCCGGACCGCTTGGTGGTTCTTGCAGCTTCTCCAAGACAGCATCTCCTCGCTCCTGAGGTTCGCTGCCTGTGAGGATGGGGTAAGTGGGGGCCCAGCCCCTGGGCACGCTCCTCTTCTCTCCCTGTCCCTCGTGTGCCAGGCACCACCAGAGGTCAGACTCCGGAGGCTCAGTTAGGTCCCTGCTTCCTCCTCTGACTCATGCCTTTCCCTTTCGGAGCCAGGGTTACTTCTCATCAGTCCTGCAGGAGATATGGGGCTCTGTCCCCTGGCTTCCATTGTGGTAGGACCATCTCAGGGTTTCAAATTGGACCTAATAGCACAGCTGTCTGAGACACAGTTTTTAAATTGCTGGGATTCTAGAGTCTGAGTGCATGGAAACTTCTCAGAGTTGCCCTGACTTAACGGTGGTAGCTTTGTGAAGAGGTCTGAGGCATGCTCCTGAAAGAGACTGCCACCTGAGCATACACACCTCACCTTACACACTAGCATTACCTTACACATCCATGTCACCTTGCACACCCAGCTTACCTCACATACCTGTTACCTTACACACCCACCTCAACTTACACACCTGCTTTCCCTTACACACCCACCTTACCTTGCACACCTATGTTCCCTTACACATCCACCTTACCTCACATACCTACCTCACCTTACACACCCACCTCACCTACATGCCTACCTTATCTTGCACATCCATCTCACCTTACACATCCATCTGACCTTATACACCCACCTTACCTTACACACCCACCTCAACTTACACACTGGCATTCCCTTACACATCCACCCCACCTTACACACGCCCCTTACCTCGCACACCTGTTACCTTACACACCCACCTCAACTTACACACTGGCATTCCCTTACACATCCACCTCACCTTACACACCCACCTTACCTCACACACCTGTTACCTTACACACCCACCTCAACTTACACACTGGCATTCCCTTACACATCCACCTCACCTTACACACCCACTTTACCTCGCACACTTGTTACCTTACCCACTTCAACTTACACACTGGCATTCCCTTACACATCCACCTCACCTTACACACCTGCATTCCCTTACACACCCACCTCACCTACATGCCTACCTTACCTTGCACACCTGTGTTCCCTTATACACTCACCTTACCTCACACACCTATCTCATGGTTACACACCCACCTCACCTACATGCCTACCTTACCTTGCACACCTATCTCACCTTACACATCCACCTCACCTTACGCACTGGTATTACCTTACACACCTATCTCACCTTACACACCCACTTTACCTTACACACTTGCATTCCCTTACCCACCTAACTTGACACACCTGCCTTGCCTCACACCCTTATGGAGCGGAGAGCTCTGTCCATGTCAGAGCCATGTGGAAACCTGCGAGGGGCCTGTGTGTCTGCCCTCAGGGTTCAAAACCCAGGTGGCAGACATGCACAGCTCTTGCGGTTGCTGGCAAAGAGGACGCCCACATCGGCAGAGCTAAGGGTTCCCACAGCCACAGGCCCACTCTGCATCCAGCCTGAATTTGGAGGCTCCATGCTGCCCTCCTGGCTGCTTGCCAGCGCCTCCTGGGCTTCGGGGTAGGGGGAGAAGCGGCCCTTACACTCTTCAATTTACACTGGATGTCAGAGTTTTGAGTAAATCGGAATGTCTGTGCACAGAATCTGTAAGGAGCCCTGGTCTGGCTGCGGTTCCAACTCGAATCCCTGGCCTCATGCACCTCTTTAGAGCAACTTGGTGACCCCCCCTCCCCCACACAGACCTCATCCAAGGGGCTGCTGTGCCGTGGGGACCAGTGTCTAGAGGAGGGCTTGTGGACAAGTGTCCCTGATCGTGTGCAAGTGCGATGGAAGTCAACAGTTAGAGCAGCCAGGCCCCATGCTCCCTGCTGTCCTCAAGATGGGCAGAGGCCACGCTGACTGGAGAGGCCACAGGGACAGGGCTTCTGTCGGATGCAGAGAGACCCGCAGAGGGAAGGTCATCACAGTCTTCACAAGCAACACCGAGAGGGTAGCCAGCCCGGGTGGGGACAACAGGGACCCTGCGTGTGTTCTCTTCTGATGGAAGTCCTGTTTCACGGGTGGTGAGCTCATGGTTCTGTGACTGTTGGTCCTTGGGTAAGGCTTGTGGATTGGAGAGTTCCAGGGTAGGGGGCTTTAAACAGACACTAATGTGGCAGGCCCACCTCACCTCGCGCCCTCAGGGAGGAGAGAGCTCTGTGTCAGGGCCATCTGGAACTTGTTACTCTGGAGGATGCTGGGGGAGTCCTGCTCATGGAGAACACCACAGAATGAAGCCCAGGGCCAAGCGCTTGGAGATGGTACCCACGGGCCCTGCAGTAACCTGGGTGCCTTTCCTGGGCCCCAGGCTCCCTGGACAGTGGCCTTCGGCCCCCTGCTCTCTTCAGGGGCCTGGCAGGAACTCCCTCATTCACTTACTCCCTTTTAATGGAGGCAGGCTGTACCTCCCACACATTGGACTTCTCGACTGCTTGCATCCTAGAGAGCGCAGGAGGCTCATGTATGCTTGTGTGTATGTGATCTGTGTGTGGGGGGGCGTGTGTAGCGGTGTGATCTGTGTTGGGGGGCGTGTGTAGCGGTGTGATCTGTGTGGGGGCGTGTGTAGCGGTGTGATCTGTGTGGGGGGCGTGTGTAGCGGTGTGATCGTGTGGGGGCGTGTGTAGCGGTGTGATCTGTGTGGGGGCGTGTGTAGCGGTGTGATCTGTGTGGGGGCGTGTGTAGCGGTGTGATCTGTGTGGGGGCGTGTGTAGTGGTGTGATCTGTGTGGGGGCGTGTGTAGCGGTGCGCTGAGTGAGAGGCCCAGCGGTCAGCACCTCAGTGTCCCTTTGTACTGCTCTGCTGGCAGAGGCGAGGCCAGTAGGACTGGGGAGGTGCCAAGCTTGTCACCCCCAACCCCACCTCTGCGCTCAGTGGATTCTCAGGCTTTATGTCAACCTGGAAGGAAGTGGACACGGGTGTGGGTGAGACCTGGTTGGGGGCATCGGCCACGAGGATCACCTGAACTCCGTCAGTTTTTAGGGTGCGGATGTACATTCACAAATTGCAAAGAATCAGATGACTCTCCGTGAGAACCACAACTCCATTCTCAGAACAAACTATGCCACTTATGGTCAGGACCCAGGAGTGTAGGGTCTCAGGCCTCCACTTAACAAGGTCCAGCTTCAGATGTGAAGGTAGTGGTCACACCCACCACTCCACCTGAGTGACATCACAGAAGCAAGAGTCAAAGAAAATACACTGTACCTTTTAAAAACAGAGGCACGTTTTATAGTCACATGCACAAATACATGCATTCATATGACCAGCACATGTGAGTTTGCTAGTGTGATTGTTTTTAACTTCTTCATGTTAATTTCCCCCCAATATAGGTATAATTTAATGTCCATTTATAAATGATGCAGTTATTATTGAAAATTTAACCTGGCATTTTAAAAAGAGGGTATTTTTCAGACTTTTTTTTTTTTCAAGTCAGAGTTCGGTGCTTGTATCCAGGTGACCTGGGTCCCCCATGGACACACACAGGGGCAGCCCTAGTAGACGACACAGCGGCATACAGCATCACCATGGCCCTCCCAGCCCTGAATGGGAACCGCCCACCCTCCTCCCCAGCATCTCTGTTGCCTTCCTGCCACTGCGCCTGTGCAAGGCCCCTGAGCACAGAAGCCCTGGGAATGACCAAGAGTCTGGGACCTTGATGTCTTGGCCACAGGAGCCCAGCGGGAGGCCTCCACACTGTCCAGTCTCATCCCCTCATTTCCTCCCTTCACTTGCTTAGACCTCAGCTCTCTCCCCCGCTTTACCTGAACATGCTACCAGGGAGGTCAGAGCTCCCTGTGAACCACAGTGGGGAGACAGGGCATTTGGCGCTATGCCTGTCTTGTAGGTGTGAGACAGGGACTACAGTGAGCCGGCTTCACAGCGTCCACATCCCAGACCTATCTGGACGTTTACTGCTGCAGAAGGAGCGGTCTCAGGGCTCCTGTGTCCACACTGTGCACACAGACCCACTGTCTGGACACGGCTCTGCTGGGCAGCAGTCACAAGGCTAGACTGGGGTCACATATGTCCCCCAGTCCTTGGCCGGCCCTCATGCTCCTCTCAGCTGGGGCCTCGCTGGGCCCCGAGCCAGACACCCACACGGTCTGGACCCCCTCACGGCATGCATCTGGTCCTGAGCAGGGCAGAAGATGGGCCCCTGTCCTGACCAGGGATGGGGCACACTCCATGCCCCTCCCACCACACTGTGCTCACAAGAAGCCAGACCCCAGGTGAGGGCAGTGAGGTGCCCATCAGGAACACAGACATGCCAACCCTGGCCATGCTGTCTGACTGCCCAGCCTGGGTTTCCCTGCCAGGACACGTTAATGATGGAAGGGGCAAGTTAGCACTGAACTCAGTTATCACAGACATCCATCAAGTGTCTGGCACAGAGCAAGGCTGGGAGGAGCCCCAGCACTGCTCCTCAGGTCCCGCAGAGGAACTTCCCAAAGAACACGTGACCCTCTGGGGCTTCAGTCTTCCTTAAGACCAATAAGCCTCTCTTTATGTTCAGCCCTGTTCCCCCAAAAAAGTGTCCCGAGGTCTGATACCTGGAGACCAGGAGGGCACAACATACTGCCCCACCTAGTCACCGGGCCCCACCGCCTGGAGCTCTGCATTCCCACGTGGAGATGATGCTTGCCCGCAGCTAACCTGTTCCCTGAGACTGTCATCAGACAGTAAGAAGGAAGGCCTTTCTATAGTATGGGGAGAGGCGCTCAGCTCAGGGCAGCTCTGGGAGAGATGAGACCTTGTTCAGGCAGGCAGAGCTAGTTCTTGACCAGAAGTGCTGGTTGGCTGCGGAAGTGGGAGTCAGCGGCAACATGATGGAGCTTCCGCTGGGGCCCGGGGCGCGGCTTCCCCCCCTCGAACGGCCAGCTTAGAGGTGTGCACCTTGTATCCACTGACAGACATCGATAAGAGACATTCTTGATGTTCTTGTGTAAAAACACTCAGCTACCAGAAAAAAGCAGTTCCTTCCTTGGCTTGTATCGCAGCCTATTCTCATCTCCGGAGGTCATGGGCCAGGGAAGAGCCTCCTGCTCTGGCTGTGGTGTGCTGAGTCGCTGGGGAACAGGGTGTCCAGGGCTGTTTGCTCTAACCAGCCTGCCTCTCCTCCCTGCAGAGTTATGAAGTGAGGAGTGTCCTCGGAAAGGAGGTGGGGCCATTAACCTGCTTTGTCCGGTGCATCACCACCCACCCGACCAGCATCGTGGGATTGGAGGAGGTTGAGCTCCTGAGCGAGGGGAGAGCCTCTTGAGAACTCTGGCAACGGCCACAGGACCTGTGAACTTTACCAAGTGGCTGAGAGGTGGTGGTGGTTTGGGTCATTTCTTAGCCCTGGGCAGAGTGAATGTAGTTTATGATCTTGAAATGGAACTGCATGTTAGTAAAATGGTTTTGTAAACTATAAATCAAAATACTTTTTTCTATGATTATATATATTTTTATTACCTTTCTGTATGTTAAAGCTTAAATAAGCTTCAGGCCTTCATATTGTATTTATTTTAGATAATACAGTATAAAAAATTATTTTGTCCTACTGTAATTTTAAAGTGTTCTGTTCAAATTTTACCATGATTCAGCAGGGGTTTTTTTTCCCCCATTTCTTTTAACATTTCCCCAAAGAATACCCGGCAAAGGGCAAACCTTTGTCCTCTTGTCTATTACTGCTCTGCACAGTAGGTGTCCAACCTAAGTGCTTTGCAGTTCATTATTTTTTGGAAAATGTTCTGAGGGCACTGTGTCAGAGGTCAAACTGTTATGGGTAAAGTATAGATAAAGTGAGAGAACAACAGGTCTGGTTAGCACTGGGTGCACAGACAAGGCCACCCCGCCACAGAAGAGCTGGGTCATCGTTCACCTTGTTGGCAGAGTATCTGAGTTAAAAGTAAAACCCCGGATTAATTATCTCTGGACACTAAAGATTTTGTTTCCTCCCTTATGACAATATAATCATGACAAGCCACGGTTAATAAATTACATAATATAGACGTAGCAGCCAAGACAAAGAAAGGCTGCCCAGTACCCTCTCATGGGGAAAAGGCAACGACTTTATTTATTCGTCCAGGTTAATCTTTGAAACATTACAAGTACTGGCAAGGTAGCCGGTTTTAAGTAGTTTTGTGACTGTCCTTTCCATCTCCTACATGACTTGTACTTTACGCACTTGGAAAATCTACTTGAAGCTGACTACAGAAGTGAGGAAAGTGAAAGCAAATCCCATGAAAGCCAAGATGAGTCGGGCTGGTTTTCGAGTAACCGAGCCCTCTTCTCCTTGCCCCTAGACCCCAACTCGAGGTGGGACGCACTCCAGTGGGTTTCCAACACGTTCCCGGGGCGCGGGCACCTTCCACCCGAGCGGGTCTCGGCAAGTTAACCAGCACGTCCGCAGGTGGAGTTCGGCCTGTTTGAGAAGCAAAGCAACCCGGGATGACCGGCCCCGGGGTGCAAGTCAGCCAGACGCGCCCTCCCCTGCGGGTTCGGACGGCCGCGAGCGCAGGAATCAAAGTGGGTCTAACGCGTCTTTATTCTTACAAATACTGTAAAAATCAGTATAAAAAAAAGTGAGCATGCTCAGTCTTTCCCTCGTATCTACAGTACAAAGGCTTGTCTGAAAAGTCTCTTTTACGAATGTACCTTAGCTGCATCCTAGGCGCAGGATGTAGAGAAGCTGCCGTCACAGTAACTGAGGGTCCACGCGGCAGCTGTCCGAGTCCCGGCCAAGCGCGGGAGTCCGGCCCGGCGGCTCCAGGCAGTGCGGCCGCAGCCCGCGCGCCCCCCGCGTCACCGCGCGTCCGCCGCCCCCGCGCCGGGCAGGAAGGGCGCGCCGGGCAGCTGCTTGAAGAAGCGCCGCAGTCCGGCCAGGTCCCGCGTGAGCTGCTCCACGCGCTGCTGCAGCTTCTCGTTCTCGGCCGAAAGCTCCACCAGCTTCTGCTGCATCTCCTGGTTGCGCCGCTTGGCCTTGTCGCGGCTCTTGCGCACAGCGATGTTGTTGCGCTCGCGTCGCTGCCGGTACTCGGGGCTTCCACGGTCTGGGCCCCGCTTGCCCGCCGTCTTGTCGCGCGCAGGCCCGGGCGCTGGGGGCGCGGGGCTCCGGCGCGGCGGCTCTGGCGACGCGGGCGGTGTGGGTTGCGCAGCGGCCGCGAGGCTCACCACCGTCTGCGCGCACGCGGCCACCTGCGCGGGCAGCAGGGAGCCGGGCGTGTCGCCGTCGCCCCAGTCGGGCTCGCGCTTGAGGGGTCGCGGCGCCGGGCCAGGGCCCCCGAGGCGCGCGGGGCCACCGGGCAGTAGCTCCAGGGCGCCCGCTTTGTGGTTGCTGTTGAAGAGGTCGGCGAAGAGCTCGTCATGGCACAGCTCCAGGGTGGGCACGGCGGCCATGGAGTCGATGTAGGCGCTGAAGTCGATGGCGCTCTCGTCGTCGTACATGGCGGGCGCGGCCGGCTCGGCTCCGCGACCCGGCTTCCCCACTCGGCCGGGCTCGTAGAAGGCAGTGGGTTCCGCCGTCCAGGGCGCGCCGCGCGCCGGGCCGTCCAGGCTGAAGAGCGCGGCGCTCATGGCGGCGTCGGGCCGGCGGCGAGCGCGGTCCCCGGGCGGGTCGGGCGCTGCCTTTTCTAGCCCGGCTGACGCGCACGCCCCGCCCCGGCCGCGAACCGCGGGACCCCCGCCCGCGCGCCTCCCCCGCGCTTCCTGCCCGCCGGCCCGGCCCGCGCGGCGCTGCCGGGAACGACCCTCCCTTGGCCGCGCCTCCTTCTTCCTGCTGGTGGGTCGGCGCCTCCGCGCCCGCGGAGTCGGGGCGGAACCAGAACGGGGCACTGGCCCGGCTCGCGAACTAGGGCACCGTGGCGCTACCCCGCATCTTCAGGGAGTTCGGGCCGCGGTGCTTCTCGATCGCGGGGATGCCCCCTCGAGGCTCGGCCAGGTCTGGGGAGCGCGCCTGGGGCCAAGGAGAGCCTCGAACCCCGCGCGCCCACGAACCCCAAGAGCGCCCGAGAACTCCGAGCTGAGCTCCCGTGAGCCCCGCGCCCCGGACCCTGCCTCCAGGGCCACAGAGCAGTGCCGTTTTGTCGTGGTGTCTTACTTCGGTCCTGTCTTTACTTCCAGACTTTTTTTTTTCTCCGTCTGTTCAGTGTTCCAAAAAGAAGCGCCTTTGGATCCAAAGCAGTGGGGTAGTTCCCCTTTAGGAGAAAGATAATATTTAGACTAGTAGCTCTGACAAGGTATTAACTTGCTAGCTCTTCACCTTATAACACTCAGAAGACTGTCAGCTGGCTTTGCTGGTAAACATTTGCTACAGTTCGGGTCAGGCATTTCGAGTTAATTCTATTTTTCACATCACAGTCCGTTTTCAGACCGGGCCTCCGTCCACATCCTTTTTCATTTTGCTGCAGTCCGCAAGCCCCACAACCCTCCACAGTATGCCAAAAGTAACTTCTAATGTGTGGTTCATGCACAACCTCAGAAAAGACATTTATTTTGGAAGTCAGAAAAACGCTACTAAAGCCCTCTCTAGTCAGGGAATGCAAAATAAATACTTGCACGGAAAACCGTATTCTCTTGAAAATAATTTGGTGACATGATTAGTAGATTCGGATGTCAAATTGGGATTGAGTTTGAGATGCTACACCCATATTTTTTAGATGAAGTAACTAATAATTGATAACTTTTCTATAAGAATTTTCTTCCCTTTTCCAAAAATGAGAAAGATCATAGACCAACAAAGTAGGAATTTGTTATGACATTTAAAGGCAATCAAAATACAATAAAACGATTTAAAGTTTAGCTTTTGTGTCAGTAGTTTACACTCATTTCTTAAATGTCTCCACCTACTGTCTTTTCCTAACTATTAACTTATCCAAAGTAAATACAAAGTTGTTCATAATTTCTCATTGTTAGGAATCTTGAGTTTTCTGATTCTGAGTGATTTTGTGTGGTTTTCCGAGTAGGACTGTCCAAAGGAAGCAGTCACATAAAAAAGTGTTTTCTTGAAAATGTTGGAGCCTTGGATTTCCCCCGTGTTTATTTCCCCTGTTTTTTAACCGGAGTAAAGTTATCTCCCCTCCCCTCTCCGCCCCCCCCCCCCCCCCAGTCCCATAGAACGTTGGCATTCTTCAGATGCTGTACTTAAGGTGGACTTTCCAGATATTTCTCTAGAAATTCCCGGGACTGGGAGTGTCTGAACACACTCCAGCTAAGGGGCACTACTGTCAGGGTTAGGAAGTGGGACTGGCTTGTTCCTAACACGGAGGGGTCACATGTTAGTTCTCAGGAGGGATAATTTTTCGGTGCTTCATAAGGTGTAAGATACAGGCAAGAAGAGTTCTCCGAATTAAAGTCTGAAAGTTTCTGTGAAGTGCCAGTGTCAAAAGCACAGAAAGTGTGACTTTAGTGCCCTCTTCAGGTGATGATTCTCCTGTTCTGTGTCAGACAGTAGTGAAGTTACAAGGACAGACTTTTTGGATAAACCTCTTTCTCATATTTTTTGTGTAAGAACTAGAAGAATAAAGCCACTGGGTATTGGGGTCACACATCCATGGCACTGCTAAAGCCTGTGTATTTTATTAAAAACCTACTGTGATGAGTCAAAAATTTTGCATTCACTTCAGCCTCTGAAATTTAGGAGACAGAGCCCCCAGATGACAAAGCATCCAGAGCGGAGAACAGATTTATTCTGTGAGTCAGGTGTCCTCCTGCCACAGACTGGCTCATGTTCCCAGTAGTACAAAAGAAGAACTTTACCTTCCCAGCCCAGCCTGTCAGCACTGCCACAGCTCATCAATGTGCACTGAATTGGAGTACATTGAATTGGCAGATGGTCTTGGGTAGTATGTTCCTTTTAACAGTATTGATTCTTCTGGTCTGAGAACAAGGCATATATTTCCATCTATTTATATCATCTTCAGTTTCTTTCATCAGTGTCTTTTAGTTTTCAGATTACAGACTTTTTGCCTCCTTTTTAAAGTTGCTCAGTCGTGTCTGACTCTTTGCGACCCCATTGACTATACAGTCCATGGAATTCACCAGGCCAGATTACTGGAGTGGGTAGCTGGGCCCTTCTCCAGGGGATTTCCCAAGCCAAGGATCGAACACAGGTGTCCCACATTACAGGCAGATTCTTTACTAGGGGAGCCGCTAGGGAAGCCCAAGAATACTGGAGTGTGTAGCCTATCCCTTCTCCAGTGGATCTTCCTGACCCAGGAATAGAACCAGGATCTCCTGCATTGCAGGTGAATTCTTTACCAGCTGAGCTACCAAGGAAGCCCTTAACCTTCTTGGGTAAGTTTATTTCTGTGTGTTTTATTCTGTCTCTTCAGTTCAGTTCACCCACTCACTCACTTGTGTCCGACTCTTTGTGACCCCATAGACAGCAGCACGCCAGGCCTCCCTGTCCTTCACCAACTCCCAGAGCTTACTCATACTCCTGTCCATTGAGTCGGTGATGCCATCCAACCATCTCATCCTCTGTTGGCCCCTTCTCCTCCTGCCTTCAGTCTTTCCCAACATCAGGATCTTTTCCAATGAGTCAGTTCTTTGCATCAGGTGGTGAAAGTATTGGAACTTCAGCTTCAGCGTCAGTCCTTCCAATGAATAGTCAAGACTGATTTTCTTTAGGATTGACTGGTATGATCTCCTTGCAGTCCAAGAGACTTTAAAGAGTCTTCTCGAACACCACAATTCAAAAGCGTCAGTTCTTCAGTGCTCAGCTTCCTTTTTTTTTTTTTCCATTTATTTTTATTAGTTGGAGGCTAATTACTTTACATCATTGCAGTGGTTTTTGTTATACATTGAAATGAATTAGCCATGGATTTACATGTATTCCCCATCCCAGTCCCCCCTCCCACCTCCCTCTCCACCCGATCCCTCTGGGTCTTCCCAGTGCACCAGGCCCGAGCACTTGTCTCATGCACCCAACCTGGGCTGGTGATCTGTTTCACCCTACATAATATACATGTTTCGATGCTGTTCTCTTGAAACATCCCATCCTCGCCTTCTCCCACAGAGTCCAGAAGTCTGTTCTATACATCTGAGTCTCTTTTTCTGTTTTGCATATAGGGTTATCATTACCATCTTTCTAAATTCCATATATATGTGTTAGTATACTGTAATGGTCTTTATCTTTCTGGCTTACTTCACTCTGTATAATGGGCTCCAGTTTCATCCATCTCATTAGAACTGATTCAAATGAATTCTTTTTAATGGCTGAGTAATATTCCATGGTGTATATGTACCACAGCTTCCTCATCCATTCGTCTGCTGATGGGCATCTAGGTTGCTTCCATGTCCTGGCTATTATAAACAGTGCTGCGATGAACATTGGGGTGCATGTGTCTCTTTCAGATCTGGTTTCCTCGGTGTGTATGCCCAGCAGTGGGGTTGCTGGGTCATATGGCAGTTCTATTTCCAGCTTTTTAAGAAATCTCCACACTGTTTTCCATAGTGGCTGTACTAGTTTGCATTCAGACCAACAGTGTAAGAGGGTTCCCTTTTCTCCACACCCTCTCCAGCACTTAGTGCTTGTAGACTTTTGGATAGCAGCCATCCTGACTGGCGTGTAATGGTACCTCATTGTGGTTTTGATTTGCATTTATCTGATAATGAGTGATGTTGAGCATCTTTTCATGTGTTTTTTTGCCACTGTATGTCTTCCTTGGAGAAATGTCTGTTTAGTTCTTTGGCCCATTTTTTGATTGGGTCATTTATTTTTCTGGAGTTGAGCTGGAGGAGTTGCTTGTATATTTTTTATATTAATCCTTTGTCTCTTGCTTCATTTGCTATTATTTTCTCCCAATCTGAGGGCTGTCTTTTCACCTTGCTTATAGTTTCCTTTGTTGTGCAAAAGCTTTTAAGTTTCATTAGGTCCCATTTGTTTATTTTTGCTTTTGTTTCTAAAATTCTGGGATGTGGGTCATAGAGGATCCTGCTGTGATTTATGTCGGAGAGTGTTTTGCCTATGTTCTCCTCTAGTAGTTTTATAGTTTCTGGTCTTACATTTAGATCTTTAATCCATTTTGAGTTTATTTTTGTGTATGGTGTTAGAAAGTGTTCCAGTTTCATTCTTTTACAGGTGGTTGACCAGTTTTCCCAGCACCACTTGTTAAAGAGGTTGTCTTTTTTCCATTGTATATCCTTGCCTCCTTTGTCGAAGATAAGGTGACCATAGGTTCGTGGATTTATCTCTGGGCTTTCTATTCTGTTCCATTGATCTATATTTCTGTCTTTGTGCCAGTACCATACTGTCTTGATGACTGTGGCTTTGTAGTATAGTCTGAAGTCAGGCAGGTTGATTCCTCCAGTTCCATTCTTCTTTCTCAAGGTTATTTTGGCTATTCGAGGTTTTTTGTATTTCCATACAAATTGTGAAATTATTTGTTCTAGTTCTGTGAAAAATACCGTTGGTAGTTTGATAGGGATTGCATTGAATCTATATAGATTGCTTTGGGTAGTATAGCCATTTTGACAATATTGATTCTTCCAATCCATGAACACGATATATTTCTCCATCTGTTTGTGTCCTCTTTGATTTCTTTCATCAGTGTTTTATAGTTTTCTATGTATAG